TCCTTCATAACCTCTGCTGCTCTGTCCTCCCCTCCCCTTCCTCCTCTCTTCCTCTCCTCTCTGTCCCTCTCAACTTCGTCATACCCCGTGCAGGCCAGAGCCAAGGTAGAGGAACTGGAGGAAGAGCTGCGAGGGAGGCGGCAGAAGGAGGAGGAGGTAGGAAACGCGCTGTCCCTGCTGCAAGATCGCTGACTGCAAGGGCTAGGGATCGAGTCTCCTCCTTGCACTGCTGGAGCAACTGAGGAGCGAAATCAAGCTTGCCCAAGAGGAAGCAGAGCGTGCGGCTCAGATGGCAGAGCAGGAGGCGGCAGGAAAGGAGGGGGGGCAAGAGACGGAATCTACTCAGCAGCATGCCGGCGAGGAGGAAGCGGAGGAGGAGGACGCTTCCTTGCAGCGTGAAGCAGTGCGCGAGGAGTCTGAGGAGTCGCCAGAGAAGGCAGAGGAGGGAGAAGCGGTGGAGGAAGGATCCCCTGAAGAAGAGAAAGAAGTGCAAGACGGCGACAAGGAGGAGGAGGAGGAGGAGGAGGAGGAGAAAGAAGAGGAGGAGAGGCAGAAAGAGGGAGAGAGGGAGGACGAGGGCAAGGCTAGTCAGGAAGCGGAGGAAGTGGAGGAAGCGTCTACTTCCCAAGAGGACCTGAAACCCCACGTGCAGCATCAGGATGCAGAGGTTCAGTGCGATCCTGCTGAGGTGAAACTCCTTCCTTCATTATCTCCGCCCCTGTCCCTCCTCCTCAGGACACTTCCCTCCTCCAACCCTCCTCCAACCCTCCTCTCCTCTTCCTTGATCCTCACTCTTCTCTCTTCCTCCTCTTCCCTCCCTTGATCCTCGCTCTTCTCTCTTCCTCCTCTCTCCTCACTTGTATCTGACTCACTGGCCAGCAGGAGCAGAGCAAGAGCAGCAAGGAAGTGCAAGTCAGCGAGCAGAGGACGTTTCCTTCTTTCGACCAGCTCTGGCAGGAGTGGCCGAAGGTCGTCGGGTCCTCTGAGGAGGAGGGCGCGCCGGGCTATCGGCCGTTCAACTGCAAGCTGATGGTGGAGAAGGAGGGGAGCTGGAAGGTGAGGAGAGAGAAGGAGAGGGAAGAAGGGAGGAGAGGAGAGGAGAGGGGATGGGATGGGAGGACGTGAAGGAGGGAGGGAGGAGGAAGGGAGGAGGAAGGATGGCGTCAGGGAAACGTGGGAGGGAGGGAGATGAAAGGAGGAGGAGGAGATGCAGGAGGAGAATGGGGGGAGGTGACACTGTGTGGCAGGTCATCAACAAGCCCATGGAGAGCCTCGAGAAGGTCCAGGCGCGTGAGAAATCTTTCATGCTCCAGGTTTGGAGGACAATCTCCGATATGGCGGCGCGCGAGGAGGCCCACCTGCCGGCCCCTACCCCGTCCCCACCAGCCCCCCAGCAGATCTCCACCCCCCAACGAGCTGAGAAGGCGGAGGAGGGAACGCCTTTGCGGGCCATCACCAACCTGCAGGAGGGGATGAAGTCCCAGGGCAAGAGGGACAGGAGGGTTACAGCTGGAGACGCTGCTGGAGAAGGAGCCCGAGGATCTCCTTTCAAACCTAGATTCTCACTGCAGAGGAGCCCAGCTAAGGGGTGAGCAGGAAGTATAACGTCAAAAATCCCTATGAGCGAGCCTGATGACCCCCCTCCTCGGCCTGCTGGGGGAGTGATGGGGTCCCTTTCCTCTGCTCATCCTTGCTGTAGCGAAGTTTGTGCCTTCTCGGAGTATCTCCTGCTGGACCAGTCAAGCTGGGAGGGCCTCAACTTTGACAAGGTATCACTTGTCAGGCCGCTGGTCTCCTTGGCCACGAAGAGAGAATTCATCCTGATGTCCTCCGGCCCCTTGTGCTCCTCGCAACATCTGCCGGGAAAATTGAGACTCTCCTTTCCCTCCTCTGCCCTGCCCTGCCCTCCTCTCCCTCTCCTCTCCTCCCCCCCCCTCTCCTCTCCCTCTCCTCTCCTTCTCCTCCCCTCTCCTCTTCTCCTCTCCCGTCACTATCCCCGTCCCATACCTCTCCTTCTCTCCCCCCTCGTCGTCGCTTCTCTCCTCCCCTCTCTCTCCCCTCGCTTGTCTTTTTCCCGCTCTCCTCCCGCTCCTCCTCCCTCACGTTGTGATCTTGTCTGTCGGCTTCCCGTGCGTGGGTTTGCGTTGGCAGAGGGGGTAGCGACATCGCATGTTGAACAGGAGGATCATTCCTGGCTCTCTGTGCTGCCAGCACATCCTCGCCGTGCTATCCGTCTAGAGACAACGGAATGAGCTCCTCCTCCTCCTCCTCCTATTCCCCTCCCCCCCCCCCCCACCCCTCGTCCTCCTCCTCTCACTTTCATGCCGTACAGCGGGAAGTTTGCGCATCCACTCTGCCGGCCTCCTCCAGGAGGCTTGTAGCGACACCTACCAAGATGGTCAAACCCTCCAGCTGACCTCCTGCTCTCCTCAACCGCTGGTGAACGACGTCGACGTAGTCATTTTCCTTGTGCTTGGAGCATTTCGTGGGGTGGATGGCCCCTGGTGGGGTTCAGGTGGTGGAGAAACGGGGTCAGACTGCAAGTAAGCGGGAGGGAGGGGGAGGATGAGCAGGCGAAGGAGCATCGCATCGATGTCTCATCCAGAGCTCCACAGCACTAGAGCAAACCACATCCCCCCACATCCTCCTCCTCGTCCTCGTCTTCCTCCCACATCGTCCTCCTCCTCCTCCTCCTCCTCCTCCTCCCTCACCTGGCTTACTGTACGTGGCCCTCAGAGGACAGCCCTGGTGGTCGCATTTCCTTTTGTGAACGACCTGAGCTGCCGGCGTCAGCGACTGACGTTCTCGCCCACCCCAACTCCTCCCTCCCTCCTTCCCACCTCTCCTTCCCTTCCCTTCCCTTCCCTTCCCTTGTCTCCCTCCCTCTCCCCCCATCTCCATTTCCCTTCTCTCCTCTCCTCACATCGACTTCCGTGGGCAGGGCATGGAGCTTGCAGTGCTTCGTCCTCCTAACAGGCCCCGGCTCCTGTTCCATCGGCTCGTCACTTCCTGTAGGCGGACCTCCTCCTGCCTCACCCCGTACGTCGCAAACCTCCTGCAGTCAAAGCATCGCTTGTACAGAGGTAACATCGTAAGCTGCCCTGTCCGGCTCGAGATCCCCGGCCATTGCACAGGAACCTGAAACACACTGCAGTGAGGAGGAGGATAGGTGGAAGAGGAGGAGGATTGGGGGAGGAGGAGGAGGGTAGCGAGAAGGAGGAGGAGGAGGAGGAGGAGGAGGAGGATGCGAAGGAGAGGAGACGATATCTCCCGCACTTGCCGCATGAACACTTAATCGCTTCATCGCGGGACTCGACCCTCCTCGTC